GACACTTTAAAAAAATTTAACGAAGTTTATTCAGCCAAATTCTTTAAGTTATTGATTTCAGTATAATTAGTGCGTGATCAATATATAAAAAAATTATTGAGTTACTATTATAGCAACATCAACTTTTTCAACATTTTATTAAAATTTTTTTTGTCTTATCCAATATGTATGATACAAAAATTTATACCAAAAAAAAACTGTTCTTACCAATTAATAGATCTTCACTAAAAAAATTTTGAACATAAGTTGGACTTTATTAATAAACATATAAACAGCTTTGAATTTAAATTATCTATAAATAAAACCAAAATTTTTGCTTCAAGCTCATTTTAATAAATCTTTTTATTATATAATTATCTTTGGTTACTTATTATAGCAAATTTGTTTATTGAAATATACTTTATCTATACAAAATCATAAAAAAAAATCAAAGATTTGCCTTTTAATACATAATACTTCAAGTAGGCACTAAAAAAAAAAAAATAAAAGGTTAAATACGATTAGGGGCTATAAAAAAATACAACACAAATTGAATTCAGAGGTCAAGAATTTATTAATATTTGCCAACAATATTTTAATAATTATAATAAAGTTTAAAGTATAGTCAGGCCCCTCTAAATGCACTTTCCCTAAATGCAGCACCTCCCTAAATGCATGATATAGGCCTGGGCCCACAGTGGGACTTATAGATAAATGCATGTTCTTTATTCTATAAGTGCACACTAGTTGTTTGGCCCACTTATAAAAACTCCCTCCATAAATGCATTCACGTAGTTACCAACCAATCAAATACATTATTTCTAGGCTACTAAAGTTATGCTTATCATGTGATAATAATCATATTGTGATTTTATTAGTGTTCTCTAATTGCAGCCCTCTCTAAATGCATGCTCTAGAGATGGTCCCGACGATGTTCATTTAGGGAGGTCTAACTGTATATAATGTTTATTTAAAATGATGATAATTCATCAACACAGCCAAACCTTTGAAATTGTTTAAGAACTCGACCCACAGAAGACCTGTTAACACACAAATGTTTAGCAATTACTCTAACTGAAGCCTTCTAAGTTCTTATAATTATTTTCTAATGAATATGTTTTGAAAAATCATAATAACAAACACATATGTATTATAAATTTATATATATGTAACACTAAAATCAATAGCTAATAGCTTATTAATTCGGCCAAATAGACTTCGGTAAATTTTTTAGAATATCTCCCTTTAAATATTTTGAAAGATATCAGGATTGACTTAAATAAAATTGGTATCTACTAGCTATTGTTAGATAATTTAAGAGTAATGGTACCAGAATTTATAAAAACAGCTATAAACCATTATTAAAAAGATTAATATACATATTAGTAATAGGTATATTGGCAAAAAAAAAATCTATATAAAATTTTAATACTGTATATATTATGAACTTCCATAACCAAACTACTAAATCCTAACTTTAAAGAGCTGTTAGAATGATTTTATAATACTAACTTCTCATCCTAATACTAGCTATTAAAGTTCCAATCTGCTAAGGATAACTATCAGATATCCAGATCTGAATTTATTCTGGTATTCATTTATAGCTGTTCACATAAATTCTGGAGCAACTAATAAAAATTTGGTGTTAAGCTTTTAATATCGGGTATATAAAATATGGGCCCTGTATAGCAAAACAGTGCATTGGGACAATCATATGATTTTGAGAAATTTGCAATTAAAAATCATCACATGATTAATTTTAATTATAATAATAACAAACCAAAATTTAAATTTATACACATTTTATTAATATATTTTACAAATTAATACTATTTTTAGAAAGATATAATCTATAAACAAATTACTATTATAAAATCTTGAAATCTGATTGGTTGGCCCAATGCACTATTTTGCTGTATAGAGCCCTATATGATACTTTCAAAGCAGCTTCAAAAATATTGATGTGTTGGAAAACTTCCGTCGCTTTCAGGAAAACCACGTTTACTGTTAAAGTAATATGAGTATAAAATTTTTTACTTTGATTTCATTTATCATAATTCTTTATGCATTCTCGACAGATATTAACAATATCTTGGTTGCTTAGAATTCTAACCTGAGATTCATTTTTAAACCAGTTGACAAATTTATATTTATATTTGGCTTTTTTAATAGTGGCACCTGTTCGTGTAATATATTTGTTACAAAAGCCTGATTTATATTCAGGTCCTTTTTTACATTTCTTATTAAGGTTTATTGGCTGACAAGAGCAGTCTTTCTATAAATTTTTGTACAAACTAAGCACACCAAACATGTTCGACAAGCATTTGAATGAAAATTTAAAAAAGTTGATATTATTGTTATAGAGATCGTAAAATTATCATTATTATACAAAAATAGCTTTTATTATTTTTATTATTATAGATCATGCCGAAATTAATAACTTAACCGAATCAGCTAAAAATCATTTGGTTAATTTTTATCAGGTGTTCCAGAAATTATGAAAGTATGTAGCTGTAAAAAAAAAAATTAGATCTTAGAGCCCGGGCAATGTCTGGGTAACAGGAGCCAAAAGGTTGATTATTCCTTTTGGGTAAAAAAAAGTTTTTTAAAAGTCTGATGCTGAATTTTCACTAATAATATTAAGGTTTTAGTAGGTTGAGCCTGATTTTTAGGAATAATGCAAGTGGGTAGTTTTTTGGTATCCCTTAATCAAGCACAAAAATCAGATCAAGTTGGGGATTAAAATCTATTAAAGCCATAGCTTATTTTTGGGTTTGCTGATAATCAAGCTTTTACTACTAATTCTCGGTTGGCAAACTCAGAATAAATTTTCAGTCAAGGATGTTTACCAGCAACACTGAAACCATCAAAATATAAATATGATTTTTATTCTCTGTTATACTGATTACTTATTGTATCAACCAGTCAAAAATATTACTGAGATTAGTCAACTAATCAAATTGTGAAATTTACAAAAAGACAAAACTGTGGAATTCAAGGGATTCAAAAAATATGTTGTAAAGCAAAGTAAGAGCTTCAGGTTTGCTTAACCATTTTCAATATTTATAGAAAAGATAAGCCAAGCGAGCCTTCCAAAAAAGTATTGTAAAATAATATTAAAAAAAATTTCATCAATTGTATAATGATTTTGTGACGTATCAACGGTTTCTCCTTTCAAATCAAGTCATGTGATTTATATAACATTATGGTAATAATACAATTTAACAATATAATAATAAATTAAATGTATATATGCATATATGCATATATAAGATTGTTGAATGACTTATAAATAATTTTAACCTAACCTTAATCTAATCTTAATACTTTACCCCAATCCTAATTTTTATTAGTTTTGCTATAGAGGCACAAACTGCATAAGTGCACTGTCTAGATTTATCCTAAATTAAATAGATTAAATTAAATTAAATTAAATTAAATAGATTAAATTAAATTAAATAGATTAAATTAAATTAAATAAATTAAATAGATTAAATTAAATTAAATAAATTAAATTAAATTAAATAGATTAAATTAAATCAAATTAAATTAAATTAAAGATATAAAAAAATAATTTAAGAAATGTATCAAAAAAATTTTAATTTAAATAAAAACAAAATTTTAATAAAAAAATTAAAAATTAATTTAAAAAAATAAAAAAATAAAAAATTAATTTAAAAAATATTAAAAAATTAAAAAATAACAAAAATATAAATATAAAAATAAAGAATTAAAAAAAAATTAAATAAAAATTAAATAAAATTATATTGTAGATAAACTAATTTAGGTTTAATTTAACTTAACTTGGGCTTATTTACCCAATTTAGGTTTATTTGAACCCAACTTGGGTTTAATTTAAATTTATTTAATCTCTATCTATGTTTAAATAAAAGCTAATTTATTGAGGCCTAAGAATTAGCAAAAAATTAAAAACTAGAACCCGAGCAACACCGGGTCCTACATGCTAGTTCTAGTGATTCTTGTTCTTTTCTTGAAATAGAATCAGCAGATGCTAAGGAAGCTGATGTGGATGTGCTTACAGATGCTTCGTCATCACTTTCTTCATAAGAGTCTCCAAAATAATTTTTTTTTTTGTATCAAAGAAATTTTTGAGCATTTACGAAAATGCTTGCAAGCTTGTCTTAGTGAATCATTAATTTGGTCCCCACATTTTTTATATTGTCACCTTTTCTGCTTATACCCAACTACATGTCCTAGCTGACTAAAGTTCTCCCATATTGGATCAGGTAATGGCATTTCTGCTATTAATTAAAATGCTAATTATATATTTTAACTAAACGTTGAATAAATAAGCAAAAAAAATTTTAATATAATTACTTTGCAACTTTTGTACGAAGAAGTTAACAGTTTATTTACTAAGAGCAAAAGTTAGGCACTTCCCCTATTTGGATCGATGCCTTATATTTATTACTAATACATATTTGATTACTACATTGTTCATGCAATAATAATCGCTACTGATTACTACATTGTTCATGCAATAATAATCGCTACTGATTACTACATTGTTCATGCAATCACTACTTTAGACTTTTAATTAAATTGTGATCACGCCATTCATACAAATCCCAATCCGATCACGATATTCGATCAACACATACCCGATCGCTGGTCATATGGGTAGCACCGCGACATTGGGTTGTGTGAGAATTCAATCTTCAGGATTTTGCGAAGAAAACATTAGAAGCACACTTCTTCTAAGTGCAGGATTTTAAATTTACCTTCTGCGCATATGTAAGTATTTTTGCTCTAACTCTTACTAGCGCTCAATTTTATATTTGGTTATTATCACCATTATCATCATGCACATGCATGATTGCATGCATGCATGGCATGATGCCGCAGTTGCCCATCTATAGTAAAATTTTTGATTTCTTTATTTTTAGCGTTTGTTTAGATTTACGTTATGATCTGCAAGATCCTGCAATTTTTATTGATCACTTTCTTGACATAACTGATAAGGGAATCCGTCTTATACTGTTACGAAGATCAGTTAATGGATGGGTGATCAAAAAGGTAAGTAATTTAGACTTATTTGATTAAATTTTTTTTTCTTTGCACACCTGCGTGCGTACGCGTACGTACGTAAGTACATATCTGATATTTTTGTTCTGCTGCATAATAGTAATCATTTGACATCTAAAACAGCAGATGATCAAGGAGAGAAGTTCTTTCATCTGCGTTACTAATTTATATATACAGTATTTGATCAAAAACAGACAATTGTTTTTTTAACTATGATTCCCTCTAAAAGTTTATCATTGTGGTCTATTTTATGCATACTCTATTTACTAAATAGCTTAGCATTTATATTAGCATCACCTGTCAAAAAGAGTGCCTACGTTCCAGAAACAAAAACTTTTTATCTTCATCTTTACAAAAGAAAGCTTTCACCAGATGGATTTGAACGAGTTGTTTGGACCGTGAATGGTTTATAACTTTTTATGAATTGAAACATAAAGTTCTTCTTTTAACTCATTAAAACTCATTTAATCTTTTATTTAAATAAATAATCATCAGGAACATATCCTGGACCAACACTTGTTGTAACAAAAGGAGATAGACTTGTAGTCCACGTTATCAATAATTTAGGAGAACCAACATCGGTAAATTTTCAATTAATCATTCAACTTTTTTAAAACATTATTAGAAACTAAAGTTATTCTTGCATTTAGATTCATTTTCATGGATTTTTTCAAAGGGGAACTAATTGGTATGATGGAGTTCCTGGACAAACACAATGTCCAATACCTAACAATACAAAATTTATCTACAATTTTACCGTTCCTGATCAAAGTGGCACTTTTTGGTAGTAAGTAATCAGAAGTTATATTGGTTACTTTAATTTGTGAACGTTTATCTCTAATTATAATTAAAGTCATAGTCACCATCTGGCACAGTACGTTGATGGCGTTCTAGGTGCCATTATCGTAAAAGACCCAGATGATCCATATCAAAATGATTATGATGAAGAAGTAATAATTCTTCTATCAGATTGGTATCATAATGAATCATCTATTTTATTAAGTTATTATTTATCTCCAGCAAGTGTGGGAACTGAACCAATACCTAATAATGGATTAATTAATGGAAGGAATAACTATAATTGTAAATGGGCACCTGCATCCTATAAATGCGTTGATAATGCTGGTCTTTCAAAGTTTAATTTTATTCCTGGAAAGAGATATCGTTTGAGAGTCATAAATACTAGGTGAATATTAAAAATACTTGTAAATTAATTATAAACAATTATAGTTTACAAATATTAATCAAAAGTTAAAAATTTTATACGTATCTAGCGCATTTTCAAGTTTTACATTTTCAATTGATGAACATGAAATGGATGTAATAGAAGTGGAAGGAATGATGACAAAAAGACACACAATACATCGCCTTATTATTAACGTGGCACAACGTTATTCAGTAATTGTAACTGCTGATAAACCAATTTCCAATTTTTGGATGAGAGCAGATTTACAAATTAAATGTTATTTTGATTCATCAGTTGAGATTGTAAATCTCAATCCTTATGTAAAAGCCATAGTTCATTACAAAGGGGCTAATCATTTGGATCCTACAACAAAAGGATGGGCAGATAATTTTAATCGCCTTAATAATTGCATCGATTTGAACACATCAAACCTTAAGCCACTTTTCCTAGATAATGTTCCAGCAAAAGCTGATCAGACCATATACCTTAATGCTTCCTTCGAAGCGGATGCAACTCATGTTAAAAGAGGATTAATTAATGGTACCTCATACGTAGTTGATGTAAACAATCCAACCATAAACCAAGTCCTGTTTAGAAATCAAACCTCATTTCAACCAAATCAAAATGTTATTGGTCAATTTAATACTTCCCAAGTTATTGATATTGTGGTACATAGTGAGTATCAAAATTTTTAATAGATACACCGTAACGGATAATTATCTATTTCTTATATTTGTTTTATCATCTTTTAGATACTGACAATGGTGAACATCCATTTCACTTCGTAAGTATTTATATAAAATAACTTATAATAACCATGATTGTGATCTTTACTTACGTACGTACGCACATCTGTAAATTTAAGCATGGTCACACGTTCTGGATACTTGGTTCGGGCCCAGTTGATACTAAGCCAGATTTTTCGAAATTAAATATCTACGATCCAATTAAACGCGATACTGCAACTATTCCTCCTGAAGGGTATGAGTTTTTTTCATGAAAAATTTCTTAAATTCTAGGAAATACTATGAATTTTACAAAGATCATGTGATATTATTTTGAAACCAGATGGATTGTGATTAGATTCGAGGCAAATAATCCCGGAATATGGGCTTTCCATTGTCACATTGAGGTACGCAATAATGATTTTATTGTATATATACATATTGATAAATATTTACTATACTATATTTATAATAATTTACGTAAAATAATTTTAAATAAATAATTTTATTAGTGGCATGTCGAAGCAGGATTGGTTGCTCAATTTATTGAACTACCTCAAGAACTCAGGAAGTTAAAACCACCAGCTGATTGGGAACGATTATGCATTAAATCACCTAATCCTTATAATGACTTAATACTTCAGCCTGAACAAAGAACTTTTATTGATAATATGCGAAATGTTGATATTTTGATAAAAATTCAAGGTTGGAATTGGGAAGAATTGGAATTTAATTGGAATATTTTATTGGTGTATTTATTAAATTTATTTTAATTCTGTATCCTCAAATTTTAACCTAGTGAATGTAAAATAAAAATTATTACTTTATCGATTTCATAAATAAAGTCCAACAATATAAATATGTCTATAAAACAATAGTACAATAGTGTACATTATTTAAAACATTAAATAATTCATGCAACATTTAAATGAAGCTGGCGCAAGCAATGGTTAAATTTAACAATGGACTCACTGAGTCAGAATTTAACACCAGCTCGATTACGTATTGTCTGGGCATTATTAGTTCCAGCTCAGCCGACAACGATTCCGATGAATTATTCCTATACAATAATTCATAGGTACAGTGCATACGTATGTGTGGTACGAGAATACAATACTATCACCCGAGTTTTACTGGAAAATAGTGGGTTTAAGACTATACTTTATATATATTAAAAACTTTTCGATTTCATTTACTGACGTCCTATTCAGATAAGAATGCTTATGTATGATGTTATAATACAGTATTGATCGGTATGGTTTCTTTTTGGAAATTTTGCTACTTGAATTTGACTACGTATACATTTAATTAATTTATTAAGCGAGTTTTATTTTTGAATTTGTAATTTTGTGAATAAAAAAAAAATTGTAAAGTTTAAAAAATTTTGATATTATTGGTACCAAATTTTTTTTCAATTATCAAACAATGAAAATTTCGAGTGAATTTTATAAAATTTTTAAATCCGGGAAAAAAAAAATTTTTTTGACCTACTTAAAAAGTTCTAATGTAATTTCAAAGATGTAAAAGGGGTAAAAGTATATATATGATTTCATGTGTGATATATCAAAAACATTATACGTCATATGTAAAAATTAAATATATGGCTTTTACGATGAGATAAAATATTGATTTAAAAAAATTATATAAATGATAATTAAGACGTTACTATCAAAAAATTTTTTCATTTTTATTTCGTTCATCACGAAATATTCATTTTTGTCTTTTTAAAGTTACCTTTACGATCATTTAATAAAACTTAAATTTCCTATTTTTCGTTAGCTTCTTATTCATTCTTTAAAAGGTAAGTGAAAAAGCTTCGACTTCTTTTGTCACAAATATAATGCGAAAGAGCGACCGATATTCATTTTTATATATTCTTCTAACCAGAAAAAGAATCATGTCTTCTCGAACTCCATCACCTAACTTGATCGATTTTGGAAGTGTAGCTGAAAATGATATTTCAGAAAAGTTTTTTATAAGTAGTCAAGATTCTTCAGACGAGGAAAGTTCACGTGATCTGGAATTACCTTACGATCCGTGTTTAGTTGAACAAGACGAATCAAATAAAGAATTAGATCTCGAAAAACCAATTGCTAAAAAAGACTTGAATCACTATATGGAAAGCGTTCGCCCTTTATTTAAATATTTCGACGATCTTTCATTGTTGGATCAATATTATTCCTCTGAATCAAGTATAAATTTTAATTCTGCTGAAGAATCTGACGAACAAAGTTTAGAAAGTATTATAGGTGATGATTCATTTGAGGTATTCAGCATGTTTCTGTCAAATTATATGGATGATATTGAAAATATCGAGGAAGAAACTTGTCCATCTGCGATTGATTCGGATGAATCGCTCGGAATCGATGCTATTTTAATTGATCGTACTTCGGATAATTCGGAAATTGAGGCAGAAGGTTCTAGTAGTGCTCATTCTGTGCGTTCTAAATCACGAATGGATCTGGTTTTGCACAAATGTAGAACAAATATGACGACAATTATAGATACTTCTTATTTAGAATTTGATACTCGATTAGAAGAATCTTATGGTGATTTACGTATTGAAATAAAACGACGGGCTCAAAATTTATTCAAAAGATCAATTCAAGAACAATCAAAACAAATTTATACAAAAATTCTTTCTGAAATGGGAAATTTAATGAGTGAATTGGCTCAAAATGTTGATACCGTATTATCATTATCACATTGGGAAGAATCTGTTAATGAAAAAATTAGATCAAATATAACTAAAGCTATTAGTGAATTAGAAAAATCTCAAGAAAAACGTAGTCTTATCTTATTTTCCAACTTTTTGACTGACGTTGATACGGTGATTGAAAATAAAATAAGTAGATGTGTTAATGAATTAATTCAAGTTAAAGCACAAGAAAAAATTCGTAGTATAGAAATGGCTTTAATTGATCATAAATCAAAAATTGATAAGAAAATTTCAAACGTTGAAAATTTATTTCACACCATACAAGAAAAATCCAAAGAAAATTCTGATAATGGATTTTCTGAAGAAGGAATGGAATTATTAGTAATCGATCAATTTGCTGATACTGTTGATAATAGGATTAAAATTTCTAAAGAATGGGTAAAACGTGTTTCAAATAATATTCAAATTCTTGAAGATGAAATTACAATTTTAAAGCAAGATTTAGATCGAATGGATTATGTAGTAAGAGAAGAAACTTTTGAAAATAAATTTAAAGGACTTGAAGAAAAAATTGTTTCTATTCGTGATATGGCTCAACAACTTGAGAATAAATATTATCAACTACGAGAAGAATTGAAAAAAATTTTTTTTGATATCAAAGAAGGAACAAAAAATATTCATGATCGACTTGCAGCATTAGAGAGTGTTGATGAGTTAATAGAAGCTCGGTTGAAAAAAGATCTTCAAACAAGTGAAAAAACAATTATGAAAAGGTTAAAAGACGATCATAATGAAAAGATGGCACAAACGATCGCTATAGTAAAGGATGAAGCTTTAAAAGTCTTTAAGAGAATAGAAGCTTTAGAGGCTGTCGATGAATATTTGAGGCAAGAGTTTAAGTCCAAAGAAGAAGAAATCATGAGACGAATAGAAAACGAAAAGGCAATTGCTATTCAAATCATTCAGGAAAGGATTCGAGAAGCAATTAATTTATATACTATAGAATACGATGAAAAGTTGAAACAACGGACTTATGAATTACTTCAAAATTATGAAGAGAGGCTTAATAAACTTGCCAATACTTCAATTGGTCTTGAATCAACAACCGAAGAAATAAAAAAAGCTGCAGAGGAAAAGATTAGATCGTTTGAAATTGAAAACCAAAAGTTGAAAGAGTCCAGGAATAATCAAAATGAAAATATAGTAATTAAAGAATCGATCATTCACGATTTGAAACTTATGGCTGCTCATCACGAATCTGTGGCCTCGAAACTTCAAGAAAATAAATCAATATTGGAAACTAGGATAAATGATTTGAAATCTGAGAGGACCAAGTTGGAAAACAAAATAAAAGAAGTCGAAAATAAATTTCATGAAAGTGATAGAAAACAGCAAATCAAGATTTTAGCTAGTGATGAGGAAATAAACCGTATCAATAAAGAATCCGATGAATTTAAACAGAAAATACGAATAGTCGAGGCCGATAAAATTTGGTATAAAATAGGATTTACAACTCTTGCAGCCTTATTTATAATACTTTCAGTCATCTTATTTTTCTTGTGAGTATTTTTCATTACTATATTTTACTTTTTCTTTATACTTAATCTAATCAATTTTTAATGATAATAGCGATGCTGGATTAGTTATTATGTTTCCATTAGACCACAAAGGCGAGAATAAATAATTGCGTCATTGCCCTGTAGAAAACACAAAAAAAACTTACAAAAAAAATACGTACGTACACGGCATATTGTAAACGAGGGCATTAAGTCTTCTGGAGTAACGACCTTGAAAATATACAGCTTTCCGTATTAAGAAAAGAAGATAGTAAAAGTACTGTAACATCAAGTTACTGATATCTAACCAAGCACATTATTATTTCATCGTCAAAATTAAAGTATTAAATACAGTTTACGAGCTCGAGAGATATCCTAGATTCAAATATTTGTTATTGCTTTTAAAGGAAAATTCATTAGAGAAAGAGGTGGATTAGACGAATGTGGTGTATTTTTACTGGGAGGGTGATCGTATATAAGGAGCTGATACAAACATCCTTTAACGGTATATTTAAGGTGGGCTTTATTATTGCCAGGTTTTAAATGTTTAATATCGCATTAAGATGCAAATTTTGTGATCGCGCATGTCGCGAAATTTTCTTACAAATATTTCATTAGCATTAAATTAAAAAAAAGTATATAAGTGATTTTAATTTTCTTTATTACCACATGATATTTTGAGTGTTCATTATCTAAGGTCGCGACTAAATTCAGAAATTTACCAAAATATAATGGCCATTAAATTTTTTGAACTTTGGTAAAATTTTACACAACTTCGAATAGGTGTTAATTTGTATACGTTTATCGAGTTTGCTTAAAATTAATAGACATGAATAAGAATGATATTAAGCTTAAATTCTTATACCTAGTATTTCTATTGAAGTATATAACTAATATTCTTACATAGCTGCATTACAGTATAAAGAATATTTTAATGTACGTATCTATAACGGGGCTAAACGACACATAGTATGCGGCAGCCATTTACTGCGCCGTTGCCCAGTATATTTTCAGAACACCTGATAAAAATTGGCCGAATGATTTTTCAACCGATTCGATTACGGGTCTGACGTAACAACCTGCGTCACTCTACTACGTAATAATAATTTAAACCTTTTTTGTTTGCTATTTACAGTAATTTTTTTCATTTGTTCGTAAAATTTTTTTTTACTTATTCCAACTTAAATTTTTCTTCTTTAAAAATTTTAAATATCGAGCAGCAACTTTACTATTGACGTTCTTGAAGCTCATGAAAAAATAAACTTCGAAGCAACTTGTAGATCAGTTTCGATAAAAAAAAAAAATCTCTAAAATGTAGAACCAATTCGATGAACTATTTCATATAAACATAATTAATTAATTATTTATTTATTTAAAACTTTAACCTTACAAGAAAAAAAACAGGCTTGAATTTGAATTCAAGACTATAAGAACTTTAAAAATGTTTCCCGACTCCATTAATTCTTCACACAATGATTAATAATTTTAAAAATCTTTCAGTTATGAGAATTTTAAAAATATCAAATACAGTCTTTGCCAGTTATGAAAGTTTTAAAAATAATCTGGCTGAAAATAGTTTTTGTCCAGTTATGAGAACTTTAAAAATCAGTCAACCAATTTAGTCTTCTTCTACCTATAAAAACTTTAAAATAACCCAAACAAATAAAGCTTTTCACCTGCTATGAGAATTTTAAAAATTTTTGACTGAAATATAGTATGAAGATTTTAAAAATAATCTGACAAAATATAGTCTTTGTTCTGCTATAAGAATTTTAAAAATTACCAACAGACCAAACAGGGCCCTTACCCACTACAAAATTTTAAAAACTATTATGAGAATTTTAAAACTATCTAACTAAAAGGTTAGTCTTCATATTCAGTTTTGTCTTTTCCAAAAAATAACTCATTCACACAAATATATATTTTCATATATACTTATGCAAATAAGCTTTCAAAAAAAGTATGGGTTATTATATAAGACCGTATGTAGGCTTTTGCATGGGCCAGGTAGAGCCAGGTACTAGTGGTACCCTAACCCTACCCGTCTGTGCAAGGGCCCACTTGTCTAAGCTCTACTCTTACCCTAGAGCTCAGTTTTTAACACCCATGCCTGGCCCATTAGAATATGGGTACCCTTGAACTACCCATGGGCCCAACTATTATCGCCCAAAAATGGATTTTTTTGAAGTTATCAATTTTTTTATATAA